ATGCTCAACACCACTCATCATCAGGGAACTACAAATCAAAACTACAATTAGCTAACACTCCACACCTATCAGAATGGCTAGAATTAACAACACAAGAAAGAACATGTGTTAGTGAGGATGCAGAGAAAGGAGAACCCTCTTACACTGTTGGTGGGAATGCAAACTGGTGCAGCCACTCTGGAAACCAGCGTGAAGGTTCCTCAAAAACGTAAAAATAGAACTACCCTGGGGCGCCTGGGTGGCTCAGGTAATGATCCTGGGGTCCTAGGATTGAGCCCTGCATCAGGCTCCCTCCTCAGCAGGGAGCCTGCTTCTCCCTCTCCCTCTGCCCCCCACCCCACTTGTGTGCTCTCTCTCCATAAATAAATAAACTCCTTAAAAAAAATAGAACTACCTTATAATTCAGCAATTGCACTACTAGGTATCTACCCAAAGAATACAAAAATACTAATTCGAAGGGGTACATGGTGCCCAGTGTTTACAGCAGCATTATCAACAATAGCCAAATTTTGGAAAGAGCCCAAACGTCCATCCACTGATGAATGGATAAAGAAGATGTAATATGTATATGTGTATATATACATATATGTGTATATATGTATATGTACATATATATGTATATATGTGTGTACATACATGTGTATATATATGTATACATACATATATACACAAAATGGAATAAAAAGAATGAAATCTTGCTATTTGCAATGACGTGTATGGAGCTAGAGTATTATGCTAAACGAAGTAAGTCAAAGACAAATACCATATGATTTCACTCATATGCAGAATTTAAGAAACAAAACAAACATGGGGGAGAAAAGAGGAAAACCAAGAAACAGACTCTTAACTATAGAGAAGAAACTGATGGTTACCAGAGGTGGATGGGTTCAATAGGTGACAGGGATTAATGAGGGCACTTGTGATGAGCACTGGGTGTTGTATGTAAATGCTGAATCACTAAATTGTACACATGAAACTAATATTATACTATATGTTAACTAACTGGAATTTAAATAAAAACTTAACTTGAAAAAACAGAATGAGGGGCACCTGGGTGGCTCAGTCTGTTAAGCATCTGACTCTTGGTTTTCAGCTCAGGTCATGGGCTCATGTGCCATGGGATCAAGCCCCATGCTGGGCTCCGTGCTCAGCTGGGAGTATGCTTGAAGAGTCTCTCCCTCTGCCCCTCCCCCCCACTCATGCACATATACTCTCTCTCTCTCTCACTCTCTCTAAAATAAATAAAGGACGCCTGGTTGGCTTAGTCAGTTAAGTGTCTGCCTTCGTTCAGCTCAGGTCATGATCCCAGGGTCCTGGGATCAAGTACCAAGTCAAGCTCCCTGCTCAGAGGGGAGTCTGCTTCTCCCTCTACCCACCCCCCCCACCGCTTGTGATCTCTCTCTCTTTCACTCTCTCTCTCTCAAATAAATAAAATCTTTAATAAATAAATAAATGAAATCTTTTAAAAAATTGAATGAAACGACAAGCCACAGACTGAATAAAATATTTGCAAAACACTTATCTAAAAGAAGATTTATATTTGGAATATATAATCAAAATTGAATAAGGAAACAAAAAAAAAACAGCTAAAAATTTGACAAAAGTTTTTACAGACATTTGACCAAAGAAGTTATACAAATGCCTAACAACCACATGAAGTGCTCAACATCATCAGCCATTAAGGAAATGACAATTAGTATGATACCACTACACACCCACTAGAATGTCTATAACTAAAAAGATAATACCAAGTGTGGGAGAGAATCTGGAAAAAGCAGAACCCACAAACATTGCTGGTGAAGAAAAAATAGTACAGTCACTGTGGTAAATGATTTGCCAACACCTCAACAAATGATACATACACTTAACCATATGATGGAACAAATTCAATCCTAGCAATCTTCCCAAGAGAAAACCTATGTCCAAACAAAGACTCCTATGTGAACACTCAGAGCATTGTTTTACATAATCACAAAAAAAGTGGCAACAATCCAAATGTCTCCCAATGAGTGAATGGGCAAATTGTAGCACATCCACACAATGGAATACCCCTCATCAATAAAAAGGAAAGAACCAGTGATACAGACAACAACGTAAGTAGATTTCAAATGCATAATGCTAAGTGAAGGAAGCTAGACTCAAAAGGCTATATGATTCCATTTATATGTCAGTTTTTAAAATGTAAAATTTAAGGGCGCCTGGGTGGCTCAGATGGTTAAGCGTCTGCCTTCGCCTCAGGTCATGATCCCAGAGTCCTGGGATCGAGTCCCGCATCGGGCTCCCTGCTCCTTGGGGGGCCTGCTTCTCCCTCTGCCTCTCTCTCTCTCTCTGTCTCTCATGAATAAATAAATAAAAATCTTTAAAATGTAAAATTTAGGGACGCCTGGGTGACTCTGTCGGTTAAGCATCTGCCTTTGACTCAGGTCATGATCCCAGGGTCCGGGAATCAAGTCCCACATTGGGCTCCTTGCTCAGTGGGGAGCCTGCTTCTCCCTCTGCTTGTGCTCACTCGCTCTCTCTCTCTTTGACAAATGAATAAATAAAATCTTTCTAAAAAATTTTAAAAGTAAAATTTATAGGGACAAAAAATAAATCAGTGTTTATGAGGGGCTCAAAGTAAGGAGGAAGGATGACTTCAAAGTAGGGTTACCAGATTTAGCAAATAAAAATACAAGACACTCAGGGGCATCTGGCTGGCTCAGTCATTAGAGCATGCAGCTCTTGATCTTGGGGTAAATGAGTTCAAGCCCCATATTGAGCATAGAGTTCACTTAAAAAAAAATAAAATAAAACATAAATTTTAAAAAATAATTAAAAAAACACAAGACACTGAGTTAAATTTAAATTTCAGATAAATAACAAATAATTTTTAGTGTAAGCATATCTCATGCAATATAATAGTTCTCAAACTGTGGTCCCAGGGCCAGCACCATTAGAGTTAATTGGACATTTGTTAGAAATGCAAACTCTCAGGCCCCATCAGCCCTACTAAAACAGAAACTCTGAGGGTAGGACCCAGAAATTTATGTTTTAGCACATCCTCCAGGTGATTCTCATGTTGTGGTTTGAGAACCACTGCTCACTATACCTGTCACTGGCAAACAAAAACAAAAGCTAATATGAAGAGAAACGGGCACATGAGCCTATTCAATAAATCAATTCACCATCATCAAATACTAATTGAACAGCCAAAGGGTATATAGTAGGTTCTCTGAGAAGGGACTACAGCAGTGAATCTCAACTGAGGGCATTTCTGCCCACAGAGGACATTTGGCAATGTCTGGAGACACTTCATTGTCACAAGTACAAGAAAAGGCTATTGGCATCCAGTGGGTAGAGGCCAGGCGTGTGCTAAACATCCTACAAAGCACAGAGCAGCCCTCACACAATAAAAAATTATCCAGCCCAAACTGTCAATAGTGCTGAGATTGAGAAAGCTGGATTATAGGGTAAAGATTAATCAAAACATTTTTTACCCCAAAGACTTTAAAATCAAAGACATTTTTAACAACATGAAAATAAAAAGTTTTAAAAAGTAATGACAAAACATAACTCAAGGTTTTTCATACTAAAAAATACTAGAATTATTCTGAGAAGAATTTACAGAGACTAGCCATACAAAGCTAATACATCAATTAGGTGGTAAGAGGCACCTTTATGATGATTATTTTTCAGAACTTACATGAGAGAATAATTCAGAGATGACCAGTTTGAGAACCATATGCAAATTAAAATGCATCTGTAGACACTATATGACCAGAACATACACTGGCCCAGGAATCATGGAATGTGAGTTCTAGTTTTGCTTTGGTAATAGGTAGCTGTGTAATTTAGCACAAGTCACTTCATTACTCTAAGCTTCCATTTGCTAATCTGTAAAATCAGGAGGTTAGAATCTTGAAGTCACATATAAGACCCATTGTAGCTTTAACATATGTCTATGTCACAAAATGAACATGGGAAACATTAAAAAAATTTTTATAAGATATAAGGGGGGATGGCATCATTATATTCCCTGTAGAGTAGTCTTGTATTGACTTTGGGACTTCTTGTGTTTAGAAGGCGTGAAACAAAGCCGTTTAGCTTATTTATTTATAATAGTTACATTAACAATTCAGGTTCATTACAGACAAATTAGAATATATATATAAACCACTCTTTTTCATCAAGTAACATTCTGAGATGGATTATAGCAGGAATGTGTTAAGATGGTCTGACAATAGTCAATTTTATTTTTGCAATTAAAAATTGAAATGAAGGGGCACCTGGGTGGCACAGTCGGTTAAGCATCCAACTCTTGGTTTTGGCTCAGGTCATGATCATGGGGCTCTGTGTTCAGTGCAGAGTCTGCCTCGGTTTCTCTCTCCCTCTCCCCACCCTACCCCCCACTCTCTCTCTAAAGTAAATAACTAAATCTTTTTAAAAAAACCTGAAGTGAAAGGGGAGCTTGAGTGACTCAGTTGGTAGAGCATGTGACTCTTGATCTCGGGGTTGTGAGTTCAAGTCCCATGTTGGGTGTACAGATTACTTAAATATATATATTTTTTTAACTAGAAACATTTAAAAAATTGAAGTGAAAAAGCTTAGAAAATTACTGTTAGACCTTGTATGTATGTGCTTAAGGAAGAGTACATTATTATTTCACATAATAATTGTCATGCTATATAAGAGAAGGCCCACAACCCTTTCTCTGAAAACATATATTTTAGCTCAGTATGAACTTAAGAGTAATAAAAAGTATTTTTATATCTATGTACTTATAAAACATAAACCTATAAATATACAACCATAATAATGTCAAGATTCCATCTTCAGATGTTTTTAACTTTTTTTATAAAAAATAAGAAATTATATATAAGGGGCAAAGAAAATATATTAATCTTACCAGTCTTCACTGCCAAATGTGTCAGTGTATCTGCTTCTATCTCAGTGTTAGAAGTAATTTTCTAGAATTCCAGTCAACAACATTTGACTTCACTGATTTCCAAAGACTAACTTACTTTAATATGATGTACACCATTCAGTTTTCCAATCCGCTGCTCAATGGTCCAAACACAGGAATTACATGTCATCCCCTCAACAGAGATGGTGACCGAATCCACACCCATACTTCGATCCATCTTGATTTCTTCTTTACATTCCTATTAGAAACAATGAACTCACTAATTTCAGCCATGGAAATAATCCTTCCTCAACTTTCCCCCCACCTTCTCAACTGAAAATATTGTACTAATAAAATATGATCAGCATTCTTTTCTCTCATCTCATTTTACTCTCACCTCAGGGCCACTGCTTTAGCTATTCCCTTGGAATAGACTTTCTTCTTCCAGATATCTGCTTAGTTAACTTCTTCATCTTTCAAGCCTTTACTCAAATCTAATCCCCTTAATGAGTTTTACACTGACCACCCTGCTTAAAATTGCAATCCACATCCCTTCCACACACATACACTCTGATTCCCCTTACATCTGCTCTATTTTGTCTTTTTTTCATAGAACTTATTATATTCTAATATACTCCAAAATTCACTTACTATGTTTATTGCTTATTATCTGTTTTCCTGTGGTGGTTTTAAAAATGTGCTCACAAATTCTTCGTTACTCCTTCTTTCAAGAGGTGGAATTTGGGAAGCCTGGGTAGCTCAGTCAGTTAAGCAACTGCCTTCGGCTCAGGTCATGATCTCAGGGTCCTGGGATCAAGCCCCACATTGGGCTCTCTACTTAGCAGGCAGTCTCCTTCTCCCTCTCCCTCTGCTCATGTTCTCTCTCTCACACTTGCTCACTCTCTCTCTCAAATAAATAAATAAAATCTTAAAAAAAAAAAAAAGAGGTGGAATTTAACTCCTTTCCCTTGAGTGTGGCTTGTGCTCAGTGACTTGCTTCCAAACAGAATATGGTGGAATAGACAAGGTATGACTCATAAAAGGCAGGCACTATGGGGGTGGGGGGGAGTCACTGTGGATTCCTCCTTGTCCTTTCTCTTGTCCACATCATAAGGACACTCAAGCAGCTTTAGGGAGAGGTTCATGTGGCAAGAATTTGAGGCCTCCTGCCAACAGTCAAGTGAGTGAACCATCTTAGAAGCTGATATTCAGACTTAATTAAGCCTTTAGATGCCTGAAGCTCCAGTCAACATACTGACTACAACCTCATGAGATACCCTGAGCCAGAATCACCCAGCAAAACCGCTCCCAAATTCATGACTCACAAAAACTGTAAGACAATAAATGTTTGTTGTTTCAAGCCACTAAATTTTTAGGTAATTTGTTACACTGCAATAATGAACTAATACGTGTCCCACAAGAATGAAAATTCTATGAAGACAAGAATCTTTTTTTTCCCACTGCTATTAGTTTGAAGCACGTGAAACTGCCATTGTTGCGTATCAAAATAGTCAAATACTGCCAATTTCATATAGATCAACCTAATATGTCCCATGGAAACAGTGTTTTCCTCTAGTGAGAGGAACTAAGTGTTTAGGGGATAAGGGTGGAAAAAAGAATGTTGAATATATAACCTTTTGCACCTCTTTTTTAAAGTTGAGATATAATTGGCATAACATGATGTAAGTTTAAGGTGTACAATGTGTTGGTTTGATACATACATACATATCTATATATCTATATCTATATATATATATGTATAGCAATAGGATTACCACCATTAGCTAACACCTCTATCACATCACTTAACTATCATTTCTTTTTTTTGTGTGGTGATAACAGTTAAGAGCTAGTCTCCTCTGTATCTTTTAAATTTTGTACCATGAGGATATATTATCTTTTCAAACACACAGACATGCACACACACAAAAGCACAGTGGACCTGAAATAATAGAAAACAATAATAGGCAAGGGAGTTTATAGTTGAGGCATTCTGAGAAGCTTGGTCTTATTTGGAATGTATAGAAAGAGATAAACCTTAGATTTTGTTAAGAATACATGTTAAGGGGTGCCTGGGTGGCTCAGTCGTTAAGCATCTGCCTTCGGCTCAGGTCATGATCCCAGGGTCCTGGGCTCGAGCCCCGCATCGGGCTCCCTGTTCGGCGGGAAGCCTGCTTTTCCCTCTCCCACTCCCCCTGCTTGTGTTCCTGCTCTCTCTCTCTCTCTGTGTCAACTAAATAAAATTTAAAAAAAAAGAATACATGTTAAAAATTTAAAGGTAACTAGTAGGAGACTAGAAATAGAATATAAAGCTTCCAAAACAGTAGAGGGAGAAAGAGAATAAAGAAAATTAAATTAAGCCACTAGACAGCAAGAAAGATACATGAAAATTACAAGAAAAGAAACAACTAAGAACTGGTTTTTTAAGATTTTTTTTTTTTACTTGACAGAGAGAGACACAGTGAGAGAGGGAACACAACCAGGGAGAGTGGGAGAGGGAGAAGCAGGCTTCCTGCGGAGCAGGGAGCCCCATGCTGGGCTCGATCCCAGGACCCTGAGATCATGACCTGAGCAGAAGGCAGACACTTAACGACTGAGCCACCCAGGCGCCCCTAAGAACGTATTTCTATAAAACTCTTTTCTTTAAAGGGTAATATGAAATGATTATGATAAAAGCAGCACTAGATTCAGGCTTAAGAAATTATTCAGGAAAAAAGAGACTTCCCAGTGTAGATCTGAGGGCCTCTTTTAGAGCACCATAGATTATTCGTGTTTAGGTAAATTAGAGGGTGTTAATTAGAAAATGTTTAATTATGTAATAAAAATTTTATTTGGAAGAATATATTAGCTCAATGTAAAGAACTTGCAAGTTGTACAGATTTGCAAAAAAAAATCTTTTGCAAAGATCACAAATTATGTAGAAAGTACTATTTTGTATAAGAGGAAGAAGAGAAATACTTAAGTAAAACTGTTACCCAAACTAGTGATGAGCAGGAAATAACCAGTTCTTATGAAGATGCTATCACCTAAAATTGAAGTACAAATAAAAACACAAGTCTTAGGTCCAATAAAATTAATCCAGTATTCATTAGGTGGTCTCCATGTCTTTGGATAAAGATCCTGTTGTGTGGCCATAATCAAAAATTAAAGGGGCGCCTGGGTGGCTCAGTCGTTAAGCGTCTGCCTTCGGCTCAGGTCATGATCCCAGGGTCCTGGGATCGAGCCCCACATCGGGCTCCCTGCTCGGCGAGGAGCCTGCTTTTCCCTTTCCCACTCCCCCTGCTTCTGTTCCCTCTCCAGCTGTCTCTCTCTCTCTGTCAAATAAATAAAATCTTAAAAAAAAAATTAGAGACACCAAAGTGTTTCTCTTAGACTTGTCAAAATTAACAATGGCCAACTACAGAACTCAAAAGGGGGTTTATAAATACCATGATTTACAATGACTCTTTTTTGCCCCAAAAGTCATTTCTTTTAAAAATGCTAAAAACTACAAGAGGGAAATTTTTCAAAAAATCAGAACACTATGTAAAAAAACATCTCAGAAGGACTCAAATAATCAGTAACATTAGTCACCTCCATGGAGGGAAAGAGACTGGGTGGTTGGAAGGGACGCTTTTGCATTTTGAATTATGTAAATATAAAACCAATTAAAAATAAATAAAATTTATGAAAAACTATTTAAACTAAAACATTTCTTTGCAATGAATTTATTCCAAGTGGTATAAAAACAATTGCTACATCATCTTAGCTTTGTTAAGCTCAGAGAAACAAACAGAAACTGCTGCTGAACTTCATCTTCCACTCCTAACAAAGCAAGTAAGTGGATTTTTCTTACTTCAACTGATATCGCTGGAGCTTTGAACAACTGGACTACCAGTATAATTTCCAAATATCTAAGACCACAGAATTTCCTTGGGGATAACTTGTTTTCAAATGTTAATTGGTTTTTAGCACATATTTTTCATTATATATATATTCTTTTTTGAGATATAATTCACACACTATAAAATTTACCCTAAGACATACAATTCAGAATTTTTTAGTACTATTCACAAGGATACACACAACCATAATGACTATGTAATTGCAGAACATTTTCATTACCCCCAAAAGAAACTCCACACCCATCAGCAGTCACTCCTCGGTCCCCTTACAGCTACTGGCAAAAATGAATCTACTTCCTATCTCTATGGATTTGCCCATCCTGGTAATTTCATAAAAATGGATTCATTCAATATGTGATTCTTCGTGTCTGAAATTCTTTCACTTAGCATAATATTTTTAAGGTTTAACAATGTGTGGAATGGGGGCGCCTGGGTGGCTCAGTCGTTAAGCGTCTGCCTTCGGCTCAGGTCATGATCCCAGGGTCCTGGGATTGAGCCCCGCATCGGACCCCCTGCTCCGCGGGAAGCCTGCTTCTCCCTCTCCCACTCCCCCTGCTTGTGTTCCCTCTCTTGCTGTGTCTCTGTCAAATAAATAAATAAAATCTTAACAAAAAAACTATGTGTGGAATGTATCTGTACTTCATTTTTTTCACTTTCTTGATGGCATCCTTTGAAACAAAAAAAACAATTTTCATGAAGCCAAATTTATCAGTTTTTTCTTTTGTTGCTTGTGCTTTTGGTGTCCTATATAAGAAACCACTGCCACACTGAAAGCCATGAATATTTCCTTCTGTGTTCTAAGAGTTTGGTAGTTTCATTCTTACATTTAGGTCTTTAAATCCATTTTGAGTTAATTGTTGTACATGGTGTGCAGTAGGGATCCAAGTTACATTATTTTACATGTGGATGTCAGGTTCTCCCAGCACCATTTTTTAAACTGCTTTACTGAAATACAGTTCACATATAATTCACACATTTAAGGTGTAGAATTCAATAGGCGTTACCTTCACAGATATGTGCAACCATCACCACAATGTTAGAATATTTCTGTCACCTCAAAAAGAAGCCTGATACCCTTTAGCTATCACCCTCCCACCTCCCAAGCCCCCCACCCCCACTGCCAGGCAACCATTAATCTCCGTGTCTGTATAGATTTTTCTCTTTTGGACATTTCATATGAATGAAATCATATAATACATAATATGTGGCCTTTGTGACTGGCTTCTTTCACTTAGCATAATGTTTTCAAGGTTCATCCATGTTGTAGCACGTGTCAGTACTTCATTTTTTTTTTTTAAAGATTTATTTTTTATTAGAGAGAGTACCAGCAAGGGGAGTGGCAGACAGAGGGAGAGGGAAAAGCAGGCTCCC